GAGTTAATGGAGATATTGATCTACGCTTAGTCTCTTGGCATCTGGAGGCTGATTCTCAAGCGGTGATTCTTGTCTCTTGCTAGCGGTGCCTTTTGTCTTTTGCTGAGCCACTGTTCTTAATCAAGCGTTGGGCCCGTGGCTTCGTAAAATACGTTTGTCTCATTGCCCTGCTCTGCTACACGTGTGCTGCCCTTGGTCACTAGCTGTAGACACGTTGGTGGAAGGGGTGAGTGGAACGGTTGCTGTCAGTTGGTCCTACACCATTGCTGAACCTCCCTGATAACCTTTGTGGACCTGAGCCTTGAATGTGGTAGCTACACGTGTGCTGGCTTCTGGATCTAAGCTTCAACCACGTGTAGCTCTCGGTGGTTACATTGTGGATTCAACTCCCACCCCCTTTTTCCTCCACGGTACCAAGTGGTGGTGGGGTTCAGCAGTATAACTTGTATGGTAATAGACTTCCTTTACTCATTAACTGCCACGTCCAGCTAGCTTGGACATTGAATCAAAGTCAGCTAGTGGGGTCCCGGTCACTTATTTGCATTTAAACACTAGCTCTCTGGTTGGTGGTGCATTTATTCTGGTCCTTTATTTGTGGTCGTAGATCTCTCCCCAAAATGGGGAAAAATAAAAAGAAAAAACGGGATTCTATTGGTAAATCTCCTTCTGTGGCTGCTGTTATTGTTGAAGCAACTCCGCCTAACAAGGAAAACAGCCCCCCTTCTCTCCTGGCTGATGCAGACCAGGTGTTCGTTGTAAGTCCTGAATCAGACGAAGATGCAGAATCGGATGGGGACTCAATGCAAGATACCCCGCACATGGTTACCTCCTCTTCTCAGCTTGGTGAGACACCTGAACCATCTGTTACGCTTGGAGTGGAAGACTCCATTACTGTAGAGGGTGAAGGTAACTTTGAGTTGGTGGTTAATTCAAAGGTTCAGCCTACACTTCCAGCTACACCTTGGACCAACCTTTTCAAGGACAACAGAGCTGAGAGTAAGGGGCTCCAATGGGACGACTGTGAAGCAGATTCCTCGGATGACAAGGTCATCATGGAATATGGGGATGTGCAACCCATTGATGAGTCTATCGGTTTCTGTCTAATTGGCTATATAGCAGGCAAATTCCCTGGAATGAAGGCCCTGACCAATGTGTGCAGAAAATGGGGAGTTAAGTATGCTTACTCCCCACACTCAAGCGGCTGGCTAATATTCAGATTCACAACTGAAGAAGATATGAACAAGGTGCTTCAAGCAGGACCGTATTTTGTATTCAAAAACCCGTTGCTCTTGAAGCCAATGCCTCCCTTCTTCCATTTTGGAGATGAGGAGCTTAGCAAAATTCCAGTTTGGATCAAGATAAGGAATCTTCCTCTTGAATTATGGAGCAAGAAGGCTCTTGGGAAAATCCTATGCAAGATAGGTAAGCCATTGAGAACGGATCACCTTACAGCCACTAGGGGGTCAATCTCATTTGCCCGTGCCTTGGTGGAGGTTGACGCTTCCAAGGATTTAATACAATTGGTTGTCATTCAGCTACCCGATGGAAGAATATTAGAGCAACCGATTGAATATGAGAATGAGCCATCATTTTGTTCTTATTGTAAGACCATAGGACATGAGGTAGCTGCTTGTTCATATGCCCTTAAAGCAAAAGTTGCGATTGAAATACCTACAGCACCCGAAGCAGTGTTGGATAATCATTCTGAAATTCCTCCCCCTATCCTACAAACTGATCTGGATGCTGGTGATGTAGGTCAACAGCATGTGGAAGAAATGAATGGTGGATTTACTGTTGTTTCCTCAAAAGCCAAGAAGAAGAAGCTCAGAACCTTGGGGAAACTGCATGCAAACAAACTGCCAGGTAGATACCTCAGAACTGTGAAGAAACTTGTCCAAGTTTATAACATGCCATCGAATAGCAAAGTGGCAACAACAGCTGTTCCCAATACAGCTGATGCTAATCCCCCTACGGGTCTCTTCAGTTCTCCAGTTAAGAAAACAACCCTTGTTAATACTGCTGCCAGCATTGCTAAATCTCCTGCCAAGAAAGGAATCCTGCTCAATACTGCAGCTGCCTGTGCAAGTGTTACCAAGTCCCCTGATCCTAAGAGCAGGAAGCATAAGACAAAGGGGATCATTTCTAACAAATTAGCCAGCAGCAGCTCCCAGGTCTTGGTGACAGTGAGAAAAGGGACTAATCACATAAATATTTCTGATGTGGGGGATCTCATCCCCTCCCCATCAGTATGATTATCTCATCTTGGAACATTAGGGGTTTTAATATGCCCCTAAAGCATCACATGATGCAAAAATTTATTGATGCTAAAGGGATTGATATCATGGCCATCCTAGAGACAAAGCTGGATGCCTTCTCTGTAAATACTATTATGCAAAGAAAATTCAAGAATTGGAGTTATTCTCATAATTTGAATTCTCATAATGCAGGTAGGATAATTTTAATTTGGAATCCAAACAAATCTGACTTATCTGTTTTATCATGTACAGCCCAAACCATGCATTGCTCTTGTGTGTGTAAGGAATCCAACCAAAAATTCTTGATCACCTTCACTTATGGGCTGCATTCTGTTTCGGCTAGGAGGGCTATGTGGGCCTCGCTACTGGACTTAGCTCCTCCCGATGATTCCCCTTGGTTAATTATGGGAGACTTCAACAGCACTTTATCCCCTCAAGATAGATTTCATGGATCGGATGTTACAGCCTATGAGTCCAAGGACTTCTCAGATTGCTGCACAGAATTGGCCTTAGCTAACATTGCATCCCATGGTTCCTTCTTCACTTGGACAAATGGGAGAACTTGGAGTAAAATTGATAGAGCAATCAACAACATTAATTGGAGTGTCATCTTCCCAAACTCCAGTTGTGAGGTTTCTGGATTTCAATCTGTTTCTGATCATGCCTCCTTAATTATTAATACAAATAGTAATTTTGTGAGGGCTAAAGGTCCCTTCCGGTTCAACAATGCAATTGCCTCACTGCCTCAATTTGTAGAGGTTGTTTCGGCTGGTTGGGATCAGCAATTTGTGGGCTGCAAAATGTGGATTCTCTGTAAAAAACTGAAGGCTCTAAAAGGTCCTTTGAAAACTCTTGCTACGTTGGAGCTTAAAGGCCTATCATCTAGGATTGAACATGCTGAAGCTGAGTACAATGAGGTGCTCACTGCCCTCCAGCAAAACCCCATTGACCAGAATCTCTTGAGCCTAGCTGATAAGAGTAGGCACCATATCATGAAGCTGCGCAAGGCAGATCACCTGCAATCTGCCCAATTGATGAAGAACAGGTACCTCATTCAAGCTGACAGATGTTCCACCTTCTTCCATGCTTATGTTAAGAGGACTCACCATACCCGTTTTATAGCTGCAATCACTCTTCCTAGTGGGCAGTCCACATCTTCCCAAGTGCAAATAGCTGGGGCCTTTGTGGACTACTTCAGCAACCTGTTTCAAGCTCGAGATACTGATTGTCTCCCTGCGTCTGCAGTTTGTGAAGCTGGTCCAATGGTGCCTAGTTCCAGCGTTAATGAATTGCTTGCTCCTATATCCAAACTGGATGTGTGGAACACCCTTGCCTCCATGGATGACAACAAATCTCCTGGGCCAGATGGCTACAGCTCTCGGTTTTATAAGAAAGCTTGGAGCATTGTGGGGGATGAGATCTTTTCTGCAGTGAATGAGTTCTTTCTTTCTGGGAAACTACTCAAGCAACTAAATCATGCTTTCATTGTGCTAATTCCCAAATCTGACCATGCCACACAAGTGAAGCACTTTAGGCCTATATCTTGCTGCAACATTTTGTATAAAATTATTTCTAAGATCCTTGCCAGCCGTATAGCTCCGGTCCTTGAAAAAATTATTGGTTCTTCTCAGACTGCGTTCTTAAAAAATAGGAACATGATTGATAATATTTTCCTCATCCAGGAGCTACTAAGGAAATATGCCCGTAAAAGGATCTCTCCTATATGTATGCTCAAAGTGGATCTTCATAAAGCCTATGATTCTGTATCTTGGAAGTTTCTCAAATGGGTCCTTGTCTCAGTTGGGTTTCCAACAAGATTCACTGATTGGATCATGGAGCGTGTCACTTCTACTTCATTTAGTGTGTTGGTTAATGGTGTTGTGCATGGTCATTTCAAAGGTGGTAGGGGTCTGAGACAAGGTGATCCCCTCTCCCCCTACCTCTTTGTTCTTTGTCTGGAGTATTTATCTAGAGATCTGAGCAGCCTCAGGGATAATATAAATTTCCAGTTCCATCCTGCATGTGGTGACCTGAGCATTTCCCACCTGGCTTTTGCGGATGATATTATGCTCCTCTCAAGGGGAGATGTGCCTTCCATTGCCACTTTGTTTGCTAGGCTGGCTTATTTTTGTGATGTCTCAGGTATCTCTATTAGTACTGATAAATCAGCCATATACTCTGCTGGCATGGATCCGGTTTCTCTTTTGGAGGTGCAATGTCTTACTGGATTTGTGTTGGGAGCATTTCCATTCAGGTATCTTGGTGTTCCGCTGCTCTCTTCTAGATTAAATGTCATCCACTATGATCCCCTTTTCTCTCAGATTTTGGGCCTTGTTCAAAGTTGGAATAGGAAGACGTTATCTTATGCTGGGAAGCTGGAACTCATCAGAGCCGTTATTCAGGGCATTGCTAATTTTTGGATGAGCATATTTCCTCTTCCTGTTTCTGTCCTAAACCGGATCAATGCTATTTGCCGGAATTTCTTGTGGGGCAAGCCAAATAGTTGTATGTCTAAGCCATTGGTTGCTTGGATGGATATTTGCTCCCCTAAGCTTGAAGGGGGCCTTGGTCTCTTCAGCCTTAAGGAGTGGAACATTGCTTTACTTTCTAGGACTTTATGGGGCATCCATGCCAAGAAAGATTCCTTGTGGATTAAATGGGTGCATAGCCAATATCTTAAGGGGGGAAGGAAATATTTGGGAGCATAACCCATCCCCCTCGGATTCACCATTGTTTAAAAAGATAATGCTGATTAGAAACATTTTGCTGGACCGTGAGCTTCAGGCAGAGGGAGCGCTAATTATGCTTGAGTCGTGGACAAAGGACAACGCTGTGGAGGCCAGCAAAGCCTATGCCTACTTCAGAGCATTTAGGCCGAAGGTATTCTGGCACAAGGCTGTATGGAACCCTGCCATCCCCCCCAAAGCAGCCTTCATTTTCTGGTTAGCCATGAAAGGCAAACTCCTTACGTTGGATAGAGCACCCTTCCTGGAGATTGATACTTCTTTCCCCATGTGCAACTTGGTGGAGGAGTCCCATGCGCATCTATTTTTCCTATGCCCCAAGGTTAGCCAGATTTGGAAGGCAGTCCGTGATTGGTCTCCTATCACTCGGTCTTTCATCTCCCTGCAGCGCAGCGTCAGCAGCCTCGTCCGTGAGAGAGCATTATCGGGTAGATTGGGGAAGACCAGATGCCTTGTTATAGCTTTGGCAGTGTATTGCACTTGGTTGGCTAGAAATTTACTTTTGTTTGATCATGTTCCCTTTTTGGTAGACGATGTAATTAACAAGATTAAATTTCTTGTTTATAGACATGCTCATCTTACTCACTTGTATTAGACACATGCTCTTAGTGGACTAGCCTAGGCTCTTGCACTAAGTGCATATGTTGTTTTTGATTATGCGGGGTATGCCCCGTCTATTTTGTATATCTCTTTTGGGTTAAAATATATTTACATTTTTCCCAAAAAAAAAAGAAAAAAGAAAGAGCTCTCAGTCCTCAGTCATTCTCTCTCCTTGAGCGATTGTTCTCTGTTCTCTCTCCTAGGGCTCGACACTTTCAGCCACCAAGGGTGCCTCCCTGTGGCTTGGCCATCGTGGGTGAAAGGTGCTCAGCCGTGTGGGAGTGGTTCTCTTCTCTTGCTTGGTTTTCTCGGATCTGTCTCTTCTCCTAGTCAGATTTCAAGCGGTGGGTTTATCTCATTTGGATTCTTTGGCTGTACCTTTTTGGACGGTGGACTTTGTTAGCTTATTGGAAGGTGGTCGTTGTTAATCTCACAACAAGCCACGCGTCCACTCTTGCACTGTGACTGGAGTATTATAACTCTTTCTACTGCATTGGTCTGGAAGCATTTCATTGAAACGGTGATTTTGTCTTTTCCTCTATCACTCCTTTAATCTGCTGCAGGTTACCTTTCTTTTCTTTTTAACCTCCATTTTTGGAGTGTATTGGTTGTGACCCAGCTTGTATGATTGGGAACCGATGAACAAAGAAAAAGATAAGAAGCGTAGAAATGCAAAGAAAAAGCAAGCTACAAACAAGAGGTCCGAAGAACTTAATGGTTCCAAAGGCATAAGTAGTGTTGCTATTGATGAACAACTTGATGGTGAGACACTGGCTGGTGATTTGGGTGGCTCGGTTGAACCAACATCACCAACAGAGTCTCTTCCACGCAGTGCACTCCAGGTGTTTGACAGTTGTCCTGAACCAACTGAGGCAGAATCTTGCACTCTTGGGGATGATGATTCCGTCACAGAGGATGTTCCAGATACTGAACAAGTTGTTTCTGCCCCCAAGCTCCTTGTCAATCCCACCAAGCCTTGGGCCAACTTGTTTAAGGATAATAGAGTGCCTTCAAGTGGGTATAATCTCAAGTTCTCGGCTCCACCAGTTGATGATGATGTCTTACTGGACGAGGCTGATATTCAGCCCCTTTCTGGCAGCTGGGAGCATTGCCTAGTAGGGTATGTGGCTGGCAGATTTCCAGGGAAAAAAGACCTGTTCGAAATTTGCAAGAAGTGGGGTGTCAAGTCTTCTTTCATCACCCATGCTAGTGGTTGGCTAATCTTCAAGTTTGAGAATGAAGATGATATGCTGAAGGTTATCTCTTCTGGGCCTTATTTCATTTTCCAGCGACCATTGTTATTGAAAACTATGCCACCATTGTTCATGTTTGGCTCCAAGGAATTGAGCAAGATCCCAGTTTGGGTCCAGCTGAAAAATCTGCCTTTGGAGCTTTGGAATCCGGCAGCTTTGGGAAAAATCCTATCAAAAATAGGGACTCCCATTAGGACTGATCAGTTAACTGCTACTAAACAATCAATCTCCTTTGCTAGAGCACTTGTTGAGGTTGATGTGGCTGGGGAATTGATAAATGAGGTCAGGTGCTAACTCCCAGATGGTTCCACCTTTTTTCAAACTATTGACTATGAAAGCTTGCCTACATTTTGCACTCATTGTAAGATGATAGGTCATGAGGTGGCTAAGTGCAAATCTGTCCCTAAAGTTGTGGTTACCAAGCAGCAGCCAGCCAATGAAACCGAGGGGGTCCAGAATATTCATGATGTGGAGGCAGTGGCTAAATCACCATTGTCTCAGCCCATCCTCCATCCTCCAGAGCAGGAGCCTGTTGTTAATCTGCAAGCTCCTTTGGTTATTCCCACGGGTAATGCTGTGCTAGCTAACAAGGCAGGGGCTGCTGTTGCAACTCCCACGGATGCATCCTGTTCTGATCCCATCTCCCACAATGATGCAGATGCCGAAGGATTCACCATGGCAGTGTCAAGGATTAGGAAAAAGAAACACAAAGACAGCCTCATCAATTCCAAGCAACCGAATAAGGGGCCTCTTGTTAAAGCTGTCAGCAAGACTAAAAATCATTTATTTCCTTGTGTTGGGGATTCATCTCCCCATACAACCCGATGATTTTAGCTTCTTCGAATATTAGGGGCTTTAATATGCCTCTAAAGCACCAAGGGGTGCAACACTTCCTTCGAAAAAGGGGAGTGGATGTTTTGGCCATTTTGGAAACCAAGTTATCTCTTCACTTGGTTGATCAGATTGTGAAAAGAAAATTTGGGGGTTGGAACTGTAATCATAATTTTTCCTCCCATGCTGCTGGCCGGATCCTTATTCTTTGGAAGCCGCAAAAAGTCACCCTAACTGTCTTGCAGAGTACAGCTCAACTTATGCATTGCAATATCCTCGATAATTATTCTGGGAAAATTGTTCAGATTTCTTTTGTCTATGGTATGCACTCTATCACAGCTAGAAGAGCATTATGGACCAGCTTGCTGAATATTGGGTCTACTATGAATTTCCCTTGGCTTATTCTAGGGATTTCAATACTATCCTCTGCCTCTCTGATAAACATAATGGGAACTCTGTTACTGCATATGAAACTAGTAATTTCCGGGACTGTTGTGATGAGCTTGGTGTAGTTAATCTCAACAATCATGGTTCCCATTTCACTTGGACTAATGGCCGTGTGTGGAGTAAGCTCGATAGAGTCCTCTGCAACCACTTGTGGTCTAATGATTTCCAGGAATCTAGCTATGAGACTCCCGGATTTGAATCCATCTCTGACCACTCTCCCCTCATTATATCTTTGGGATCAGCATTGGGTCGAGGTAATGTTGCATTTAAATTTCATAATTCTGTTTCGGACTTATCTAGCTTTCTGCCAACGGTTTGTGAAGCCTGGAAACTCCAAGTTAAGGGCAATAAAATGTTTGTTATCTGTAAGAGATTGAAGCATCTCAAGGGCCCTCTTAAGCGGCTGTATACTGATCATTTTAGCAAGATTTCCAGCAGGATTGAGGCTGCCGAATTTGAATATAACAAGGTTCTTGGGTCTCTCCAACTGTATCTGAATGAGGCAGCTTTGCTTGGGTTAGCAGATAGAAGTAGAAGGGATATTATCATGTTGAGAAAGGCTGAGGCCAGCCATTTTTCACAGATTTTGAAGAATAAATTCATCTTGCAAGCTGACAAATGCTCTAAATTTTTCCATGATTTTATTAGTAGCAAGAGGCACCAAAGATTTATTGCTGCCATTCACACTCCGAAAGGTAATACTCTCTCTTTGCAGTGTGATATTGCTCATGCTTTCTTGTGTCATTTCAAGGACTTATTGGGGGTGGAGAGGCCGATTCAACATGCATCCATTCCTATTATAAACAATGGTCCTAAAGTGCCATCTGATTGTTCTGCCTTGTTGCTTGGCCCCATATCAAAATCTGATGTTTGGAATATTGTTGCTGGGTTTGATGATAATAAGTCCCCTGGTCCGGATGGATTCAATGCCAAATTCTTTAAAGAATCTTGGAACATCATTGGAGAGGACATCTTTGGAGCAGTTTATGAATTCTTTGCTTCGGGAAAACTGCTTAAACAAGTCAACCATGCAGTTATTGCTTTGATTCCGAAATCGGATAATGCATCCACTGTTAACCATTTCAGGCCAATTTCGTGCTGCAATGTTCTGTATAAGATTATATCTAAGCTTCTTGCTAACCGTATTGCCCCTGTGTTGGAACAAATTGTGGGTCCTTTTCAATCAGCTTTTTTGAAAAATAGAAGCATGAATGACAACATCTTTCTTGTTCAGGAGATCATCAGAAAATATGCCCGGAAAAGGGTATCTCCAAGATGTTTATTGAAGATTGATTTGCATAAGGCCTATGATTCTATTTCCTGGGATTTCTTGCGCTCCATGCTGACTGAGTTGGGCTTTCCTATCCTTTTTACTACTTGGATTATGGAGTGTGTGTCCTCCACATCTTTCAGCATAGCAGTCAATGGTTCAATCTATGGCATGTTTAGAGGTAAAAGGGGGCTGAGGCAGGGAGATCCCCTCTCCCCCTACCTCTTTGTTCTCTGCTTAGAATATCTATCAAGGGATTTAAATTCTTTGCAGGACGATAGCAGCTATAAGTATCATCCTTCTTGTGCGCCACTGAAGATTTCACATCTTGCATTTGCGGATGATATTATTCTGCTATCTAGAGGTGACATCCCATCTGTTACTGCTTTAGTTTCCAAGCTCCAGTATTTTTGTAATGTCTCGGGTTTGCAAATCAGCAACGACAAGTCTGCTCTCTACATGGCTGGGATCAACCAATCTGAAATGGACAATATTCAATGCATCACGGGTTTCCCTATTGGCTGTTTTCCTTTCAGATTTTTGGGAGTCCCTCTTTTAGCTTCAAGGTTAAATGTTTGTCATTATGATCCGCTTATTTCCAAAATCACTGCATTAATTCATGGCTGGAATCGGAAGACCTTATCCTATGCAGGCAGATTGGAGCTTGTGAGAGCTGTCATACAGGGGATTGCCAATTTTTGGCTTGGTATCTTTCCTCTCCCATTTTCGGTTATCCATCGTTTAAATGCATCCTGTAGGAACTTTCTGTGGGGCAAATCGGATGAGGGGAAGAAGAGGCCACTGGTTGCCTGGTCTACAGTATGCTCTCCTAAAGAAGAGGGCGGTTTGGGGCTATTCTGCCTCAAAACTTGGAATAATGCCCTTCTCACCAGAACCCTTTGGGACTTCCATACAAAAAAGGATTCCCTTTGGGTGAAGTGGATTCAGCACTACTATTTCAAGGGACAATCAGTTTGGGACTGCAATGCTTCATCCTTGGACTCGGTATTCATGAAAAGAATATTCTATATTCGTGACTGCATTATTGCTAAGGAGATCACCATTACTGATGTTGCGACTGTACTACAGTCTTGGGTCCATGGGAACAAACTGGTTGCTAGCAAAGCATATTTATACTTTAGGCAATCCAAGCCTTTGGTACCGTGGAAAAACATTGTGTGGAATACTGCTATT